CTATATTACGAAATTTATCTTTCTCTTTTAATTTTTCATCCGACTGCATATACGGATTGAAAAAAACATCAGATGACGATTCATCTCTGCCCATGTTGAAGTTTGTCATGTGTGGAGGTGGTGTGTAGATCTCATTCGGAGGTATACCAGGTATCCCATCGTCTTTAGAATCATCGTTGACTATGTCGTCAAACTCTAACTCGTCATCTTCCTCTTCTTCATTAACGACATCTACATCTGCTTGTTCGTCTTCGAGAGGATCAACCACTTGTGACTGAGTTGGTCATGACAGATGAGGCTCCCGCAACACAATGTATAACTCAATAGAGTCATACCCAGAATACTCATGACTAGAAAACATATTCTGAAGGTCATCATCATCTTGAACCTCAGCCTTGTAATGTATTATTTGGTTCTCACAAAAAAAAAACAAATTTTGACAGAAGATTTGTGTCACAGGACCTCGTTCAAGTTTGACCTCCAATCGTTTTTTGAAATACAAGGAATTGGCTTTCTGGTTTAAACAAAATCGGGTGTTCTCAGTGTCTCTAAACAAAAACCCAGAGGTGGGACAAATGTACGTCTAACCGTTTAAATGTGAACTGATAATGTATTATGGTGTAGAGGGCGTTGTGTTTGAATGTTTGAAGGTTATAGTGTTTGAGTGTTTGAGTGTTTGAGTGTATGATTGTTTGAATGTTTGAATGTTCTAGCATTTGAGTGATTGAGTGTAGAAGTGTTTTGATACATGTAGGATTAAATAAGTTGCATTGAATTTGAACAATACAACAGTAAGCAACCACTAATTCGCCTCCCTACATGTCCAATCATATTACATGCATGCAAAAAAGCGTTCCCCTAGCCTGCACCTACGTTGTAACCTATGCCACCACTAATTCTCCAATTGGGATGGCGACACCTTTCAATTTTATACCCATTCTCCAAGTCAAATGGCGCCTCCCTACATGTCCAATCATATTACATGCATTCAAAAAAGCTTTCCCCTAGCCTGCACCTACGCTGCAACATATGCCACCACTAATTCGCCAATTAGGATGGCGACACCTTTCAATTTTATACTCATTCTCCAAGTCAAATGGAGCCTCCGTACATGTCCAATCATATTACATGCATACAGAAAAGCCTTCCCCTAGCCTGCACCTACGCTGCAACCTATGCCACCACTAGCCTGCACCTAGCCTGCCACTTATGCTACAACTAGGCCTATCCCACCCCAAGTTGAATGGCGCATGCTCTCTAAATTTCATTTAGGCGCCATTTGACTTGACGCATGAGTGACACGTATCATGCATGCATGCAACCACCAACCACCTCATTTATTCAGTGTGATATAATTTTACCTATAAATACAATGCCTCACATACTTGTTTTGCATCAACAATCATCTCACTCTCTGATACAAACTCTTCCATTGTCTTATACAATTACAACTATGGCTCTTCTCACAATGGGCGATTCTCAGAGACACAAGGGACAACATTGCGGCGTTTGTAAGTTTTTTTAAATTCTCAAATATTCTTGTATAATAATATATTTTTTATAATATTATTATTGATTTAGTCATCTTATGGACTATACACTTTTTACATTTTGAATTTAGGATACTAAAAGATTTAGAATTCGCTCACACAACTACATTGCTCCCGACCCGTTGATCGTGCCCTATCTCGAATATGCGGGTTTTGGAAATGTTATAAAAATCTCAAACTACACGATTGATTCAAAGTTTATACTTGCAATGTTGGAAAGGTGAAGACCTGAGACACACATATTTCATCTACAAATAGGTGAATGTACCATCACACTAGAGGACGTGTACGTGTTATTGGGTCTCCCTAACGATGGTAAGGCGGTTAACGGGTCGGTTCAACATCTCAATTCTCTATGCGAGGAATTGTTGGGCAAAGATATGGTTGAAGGTGGTGGTGCTAGAGGCCAAGGTATATTACTAACTGAACTCAAAAAACATTATGCGACTCTTGAGTTAAACGAAAATTCTTCCGAGCTAGCAAGAGTAATAAAATCTAGAAATTATATGATGATACTATTTGGAAGCTTGTTATTTCCTGAAATTACGGAGAATAGTGTAAATTATATGTATTTAAGTTTACTTAGGAACTTTGAAAAAACTAGAAAGTATAGTTGTGGTTCTGCTGTTTTAGCCCATCTATACAGTTCTTTGTGTAAAAATGCAACAAAGGAAAAATACTTTTATGGATGCGCTTTCTTACTCCAAGCCTAGGGTTGGTGGAGAATGGAGTCCCTAAACCCCGTCAACAACAACACATTCGTTTTCCCATACACAACAAAGTAAGTCAAGAACTTAAATCATTTATTATTCATCCGTTTGTCAAATATATGTTTAAAATAAACTATTTTACAATTCCTTTAGGTACAGTATGACGGGTATGGATTACGGCAAGAATCCAAGATTCAATGTCGCTCTATATCGTAATTTATTGGATCACCTTGGCCCGGATGATGTACGTCGTACCTTTGAACTTTTCTACTTTTAAATTATTTATTTATTACATTTTCATTATGCTGATTTAATTTTATCCACAGTTTATCTGGAGACCATATTTGGGTTTGGACCATGAACCAAACCCCGAGGATGCAGCAGTTTGGACTGCAAAGATTGCAATTATATGGTTCAACATTGTGGAGATGCACCACAGCGACCGTGTCAAGATGCAGTTCGGAATGCATCAAGAGATACCATGTAACTCAACTTGTTTTTTCCCCTGGCATCTCAAAAGGGTCGACGCCCACTGGGGTCTTACTAATTGAAAAGATTTTGCTCCAGAATGGTGTAAGATGTGACATAGGTGTCACCAACATGTCTTGCAATTTCCTGTTTTCCTCAATCAGAATAATATACGACACACGAATCAATATTTTGCTTAGTACAGATCGGTTAGTAACCCAGAAATGCACGTGTCTCATCCGAGGTATTTGGTTGACCCACGAACACAATGGACATAAACCTCAAATCCCCAACAACAAACCCAACACACATCAACCTCCCACTAACCACCCCGACGATACAGATCCTCAACCACCCAACCACAATCACCACCATAATAGGAATACACCCATATGCCCCACACTTAACCACAACCACCACCTCAATACCAATACCCCTATATGACTCACACCCAACCTCAATCTCAATCACAATACCAATACACTCACATGGCCCACACACAATTTCAGTCTTCTCTATATCCCAATGTGGGCCCCTCAACATCTAAACTTAGCCCTAATCTGGAGCGAAGAATATGACCCAACCGACCCAACTTACCATCAACCACCACATCACCATAGCATCCAACAGTCGCAATACCAAACACCCCAAGATCCATTTCCTTTCTACCCCTCCTTACTCAGACGACCAGTGCTATAGACCATCCATGAAACCCCACCCACCACCAAGACGACCAAACTTTGAGGGCATGGGTAACCGAATGTACCAAAGCAGATCTTCCAGATATGGTGATCTGACCGACTTCATGGATCCTGGACGCATTGACTTCGCTGGGCCATCGACCCTGCCACAGTAGGAAATTCGACGAAATCCACCACGAGATAGGCCAAGACGCGGATGCGAAACCACGGGTCGTTACCGAATTCCGAGAGACCAGTAATTATTTTGTATGGTTTTTTTTTCATTATGTAATCGTTTTTTGTTAATGAAAAATCAAATTTTCGTGAAGTTATATGATGTACCTATTGTTTCACATTTAAAATAAAAAGTAAAAAAAATTGCACATCTATTGCACCTAAGCGTCATCTAAGATGGCTTAAAGCATCTCCAACCGTGAACTCATTTTTGGGTTCTTCGCGGGACCTATTAAATCACGTTAGTTTGAAGTAACTCAACTAGCTTTTTACTTCAATGTTACAATTCTAAAGAATTCATATCGAGTCCAACAACTTTACTTTATATATTAATATTTTATTCATATTAAATTTTATGTCATTTAAAATAATAATTTTAATTATTTAAATTAAAATTGATATAAAATAAATAAAATTTAAATTAAACTTATAATTCAAATATTCAAATATAAAAAATTTAAATTATCATCATTTGGAAAGCAAAAGAATTATTAAAATAACATAAAAAAATAAAAATAAAACAAAATGAAACCTATAAAATTAATTATTTTTTATGTTTATTATTATTATAATCGAAGCAACATTGCGTCATGATGCAATGGTCCGTCATGCTGTCCAACTCCAATAATATTTTGTTGAAAAAGGTAGCATTGCTTTACAATCCATGGTCGCGAACCTAGTTAAAAAACCTCCGTTGGAGGTGTTCTTAGGACAACTATTTAGCACCTAGGCGTCATTTTACTTGACGCCTCCTCCTTAGTTTTAGATGTATGCATCAATTAAAGTTGCATTTTGTAGCTATGAGTATTTATTAATTATTTAGTCGTCTGAGTTGACAGCTGTGTGGGATCATAAAAGCATCATGTTCACAGCTAGGGTAGACTGACTGGCCCCTTTGTGCTTGCCTTTATTCCTTAATCAATTTTACTCTGCTTATATTTACTCTTTTCTGTTTGTGAATAGTGTAAAAACGAACAATTGCTAATGAATACTAGCATGATGATAAATGAACTTCAATAATAATCATATAAGAGACTAAATGCTGAATAAAGTGGCAAAAATGTTTTTCTTATCTTATGTGACTTAACTTAGGAATGAAATGAACCAGAAAAAGAGAATAGAATCTTATTACTAAGTTACATAACATCAGACAATACCTTAGGGAAGGGCTATGGTCCTATTCTAATCCTAATAGAAGCTTCCCAACAGATGGAAAAATAATGATTGGAGCTTCATTTCTTGTGTAAGACTCTTTCACTTGGACAAGAATGAGCTAAACGAAATTTTGACATAACTTTCAAAAAGGCAAAAATGAGAAGGGTAGACAAGGCCAAGGCCAAGGCCAAGGCCAAAGCAAGTTATTGTACGCCGCTCAATTTGGCCCAATCTATGAACTGCATACCACCATAGATGTTGTTGCCAAATCGCACACCAACAGTGAACGCCATTGCAACAAGCGGAACCTTCTTTGCCACTGGAGATTTTTCGACGAGGCTTTCCAGTCCGTTGATGATTTGATAACGGGTGTTGGATGACACAGCGAGGAAGAAACCTGATATAGAGCAGGAAAATCAATTAAGCAAATTACATATACATTGCAATGAAATCTTGTATGACAGTGCAAGACATTGCCATACCCCAAAGAGCTGCACTTTGCAGAAGAGGAGGAATCGGTATGTCGTCTTCAGATTTACTAATGCTCCTGTTTTTATTTAAGAAGAAAATGAAGAGTTGCATTATAATTTTATATCACAAAAAGAAAATCAAGAAATGATGATAAAATAATGCGCCAACTAAGAAGTAGTCAATAAGACATATTTGTAATAAAACCATACCTTTTGGCATTCATGATCATATTTGCAATTCCTTGACCAACAATACCACATCCAAAGCCAACAGATCCGTACAACGCACCCTGAACATATGGTGCAAGGTATTCACAGGAATGTCAATAAAAATTTCGACAAAGATGGCATCATAGCAAACACCAAAGCAAATGTTAAACATTCTATCAAGATGCAATCAAAGTTTGAATTCTATTATTGTTGGATTTTTCGTATGACTTATATTCCACCACACAGTTAAATACTTATTTATCACTTTTGGTTTAACAACATATGATACCTTGTAGAAGTACGTGGCAACGCGCTGCATTGCAGAGAATTTGCACCCTGGTCTTTCAGCTTCAAAAACACTGCATTCAAGATATAATTTACAATTACATGAATAATTCCTGGTCAACTAAAAAATTTTCCAGCCAAAAATGATAAAGAAACAACATCATCCTTAATTGATACACATAAGTGCAGACACTAACCTGCTAGGAAGAGCAGCACAAGCATGCTGAATGCGTCCGAGCAAACCTTTTGACAAAGAAGGCTTGCCAATTCGTGCGTAAGGTGCCAACATACCCACCAAAGCAATGTCAACAACCACACCAACAAGAAGATCAGCAGCATACAACTCAAACTCAGCCCAAAAATCCTTGCCTCTTTTCTGAACCTCCGCAAATGTCGCACAACAAGAGTCTATAACAACCTGCACATAACAAATCAAAATCAAGGAAAATCAATAGCCATTACCATATCTAAGCGTTAAAAATCTCAACCAAAACCCTATTGTGATACCAATGCAAGAGTTTAGACAGAGAGAAACCAACCAACCAACCTCAGTTCCAACTTTAAAGAGAAAAGAAGGGTCTGCTAACATTCGATTTCTCAACATAGAACAATGCTTCATCAGAAAAGACAATGGCCCAGAAGAACCCTAAACACAAAAATTAAATTATAATAATAAAAAAGTTGAACTTTGAAACAAAAAAAAAAGGAAGAATTCGAAAAAACCCACTTGTAATTCCAAGTAACGAAGAAGAAACATTTGACGAATGCCAGTGATCCTCGCAGCTTCTTCCATATCAGAAGGCAACGTAACACCACGAGCTTCAACTTCTTTCATAACCGCTTCGAAATTCAACAGAGGTCCAAACTCTTCATCTCCATCTTCTGCTTCTCCGTGATCTCCATCATCTCCGCCTCTTCCTCCGCCGAAATCATCGCCGTCATCACCTCCGCCACCGATATCAGTTTGATCGGATTTGGGATATTCCAAGGGTGAGATGGGTTGTGGGTTAATGCAGTGGATTCTGAAAAGGTGTGTTTTGTTGAGGGTGATGGAACAGAAAGTGTTGGGAGATGGAACAGTGTTGTTGGGTTGTGGTGTGTTTTGTGTGTTCCATGATGCTGTTGTGGTGGGGTTGGAGATGGTGAAACTGAGTGAAGAGAGTGTCATGTTTTTTTTGTTGTGCCGCAGGTAACAGTGGTTGTTGTTTTGTGAGAAAGAAGAGTGAAGTGGTTTTGGAGCGTGAATCAAGGAAACAACGCTAGGTTCCCAAAATTTTAGAAACGTTTTGAAGAAAAAAAAAGGAAGAAAAAAAATAAAGAATCGTCGCCTGAGAGATTCGAACTCTCGCGGGGAAACCCCATGTACTTAGCAGGCACACGCCTTAACCACTCGGCCAAAGCGACTTGTTGATCATTTACTCTAATGTTAGTTATATATTATTATTTTAGACTTGATTATTAGGATTTTTGAGAAGATTTTCCGGTTTCAGAGCATCTAGATTCTCAATTGTTTTTCAAATTCTTATTTCAAAGTTTGTTCAATAGTGTATTTTGAATCCTTTTAATTTTTATGACTTTTTTTAGTTAGAGGCTTACAACCATGTTACCAATCTATCCAATATCCAATCAGCATTAGTTGACATGTCACCCTCTATTAGTTAGAGTTAGAGATGGAAAACTTTAAAAAGATCACCAAAATCTTTTTTAAATTGAGGAACAACAACACATTTAACCTTATTTAAAACTACAAATTATTAAATATATTAGATTTCTAAAACACCAATTATTCTAAACTACAAATGTTTTCAACTAACCACAAATCAATACAATAATCAACTCACATGACATCACCAAATTGCCGACCCTAGAAGGGCCAAAGGAAAAGGCCAATTGCCGACAACCAAACTATACTTGCTTTGTCATTTACAAAAAGAAAATCTAACTACAACTATACAGATAACACAACATCTTTCATTCATATAAACTTATAAAAAAAATGCTAGTATCACAACTAATAAAGTTCATTGTTAATTACATTAATTTGGAAGCTCTAAACTTTACACCAACTTTACATTTCCAATACTCTTTCTTTCAAGTGACAGCAAAAAAATATCAATTTTCACTGCCAATATCTGAAAATCTATAAAAAAAATGTACAAAGTTAAAACCAACTTTACATGAAGGAAAGAAATGGAAAATGTTCACATATGTAAATTGCTTGAGTGAAAAAGCATAATGGAATGATAAACATTTTCCTTCCCTTTCCCACATACAAAAAATAGAAACCACACAACACTTTCATGTGTATCTATCTATATATGTAAATAAAAATGAAAACAAAGAGGAACTAAGGTTTCTTGATTCTCAAGAAAAACTTTCGGTGTGTCTAGACTTATGAGAATGTCGTGCCCGTTCAATGGATGCTCTCGGCGTGCATAATGAACGATCAAGGGACTCTGGTTGAGCATCTGAAAATCTAGGAACAAGTTTGCATCCGATTTTCCTTGCGAATAATCGAGGAGAATCACGTGCACTGTGAGATTTTGTCACGGTTTTCATTTCCTGTTTAATTTTAGTGAATTCTTCTACAAGTTCTCCAACTCTAGTACTCATTCTATCCATATCCTTTTTCAAAACCTGATTTTCGCGCACAACTGCAACCCATCCGTCTCTTTGTACAATTTCGCTGGCGGTATCACCTCGAGCAGTCACATGAGCTGCTGGAGCTGGAGCTCTCTCGCCGCCTAAAGCATTGACACATCCAGCTAATGATGTTCTCAAATGTTGCTGTTCAAAGAATAACACTTGAAGAACAACTCTTAGGGGTAACCTTTCATTTTGGGATGCATGAGCACAGGCATGAATTGAGAGTTTTTGACAGTCAATGATGTTAGATAGCTCTTCTTTCTCATTATCGGAGAGCCAAGGATGAGCCTGAAAAGTATCATAAGCAGTAATCATTAATTCCGCTACCGATTTTTCTTAATATATGTGAAAATTGGAAAATGTGCTTATAAAAAGGGACAAAGGTAGGTAGTAAGCAACTGAATGAAAATGTAGCTCAAGAAAATCGAACCTTGAAATATATGTCTAGTGCCCTGTAGAGTCCGTCATGCAATGATCTTGACGACTCAGGCAGGGCCTGTGCAAGCGAGCATAACTTTCCTGGTTTTAAATTAACATCAGATGCAATTTCGGCAATATAGCTATCTATCAGCTTCGCAACTTTCCTTAACGATTCAGATGACGACGATGATGCTTGTGGATCGAGTGATGAAGGAGAAAAGGCAGATAAATTTGATTCCGTTAAAACAAAATGATGGACAATATGTTCGATACAATCTGTGTTATATAAAGCATCGGAATCTGCATAAGCTGGGATAAGAAGACTATCTAAAGTTGCAAGTTCCAATTGCATCCCAATTCTCCTCTCTAACGACTCCTTGCAAGTTTCACTGACATTCAATATCGAAGCTACACGAAGAAGTCCGAGTAGGAAACGGCAAAAAGATTTTCCTTTCTTTTGAGGAAGAATTTTCTCGATGCTTTCCAAAAGATCCTTTTGATCAATTGTGGTACCACTAGCAGGCGTCAAGCTAAAGCTTGCAACAGTTCTTGTTTTTCCACCTTGTTTACCCTGCCACCGACCTAGACCTGGCAAGTGCTTCCTAGAATAATACATTATGGCGCCTGCTAAGCTTTCAGGTCTCATACCTCTCGCTCGCATTGTCTTAATAAGCCTCTCAAACAATCCGACGCTAAGATACGAGATATCTTCAAACCACCACTCAGACTCTGAGGTTCGAATTCTAGCGCCAGTATTTATACCGTTCCAAAGAATGCTTCCACCAGGGCTCTGAAAACTTCCATACATCATCATCGGCCATCCAAATAAACTCGGGTCCGTGCAAGCCATCATCGATAATGCGTTTAAACACTTATCCACCAAATGAAGATTTTCAACTCTTGATAGAATAGGCTCAGAACTTTGGAGGGCCAAAATACAATCTTTCCAGTTGCGCAATATATTCTTGTGGAAAAAACTCTCTGATTTTGTCAACAAGTTCGATTCTTCGTATTCCTCCGTCATTTCAAGATATTCCGCGGCACAATGGACCAACACTACGTTTTTCGCTGTCAGCTCCACACGAAACCCATAACAGAATTTAGCCACAATCAAGAAAATATCAGGACCCCCAGGGAATTCTTCCAGCACCATCGTCAGGCTCTTCTCATTCATATTCTTGGAATCGTCATATTTCCGCGCAATTTTTCCACATTTCGAAACAAGAGGAAACTGCAGTTTCACAGCATATCTTATTGAAACAAACTCCAAGACATAATTCCAAGTAATTTTTCATATAAAAGGCATAACAGTTCAACTTTAGCTTCATTCATCCTTAGCTAGACAATTAAGAAGTACTAGCAACTAGAAAGTTGCAATAAATAAAATTGAAATAAATTGTGATGTCTAGTTAATGAAGGGTTTCATAGTAAAAGCATAGGTCAGAAACTATAAATAGGATTATGAATTGTGAAATGAAGATGCATACCTTATGAAGATGGAAATTGACACCGTCAATTGATACAATAATATCACTAGGCAATCCAGCATCACTATACCTTATGTAAGAAATTCAAATTGATAATCACAATAAATGCAACTTGAAAGGGAATAATTTGAATAAAAAATAAATTTAAAAAAAAAAAAACAAGAGAAAATAATACCAGTGATGATCTTGACGATGAAACCCAGAAAGTTTTGCAGGTGGAGGAGCCATGCGCTAGTTACTCTATCATGGTTGCCTTCGAAATTATTATATATTTTTTAAGAAGGAAAAAAAAAGAGAGAGAATGAAAAAGTTTGAAGAAAGGAATAAGAAGAAGAAGAGGAATAGTTATTTGTGGAGCGGAAAATGACAGAGTGTGTGTGATCACGACGGAAGAGACGGTTGTGGTAAAGTAAAGCATACTCTAATTAAAATAGGAGCCACAATGTCCTTAACCAATTCACTTTTTAGACAAGCTACTACAATTCTAGTTATATTTTACACAACATGTCACACTATACTTTTAATATTTCTCTATCTTATCAATTTTAATTCAACTGTACTTTTGAAAAGTAATACTTTATTCATGTTTTTCATCTACAAGTTTTTTTTATACAATTTTCATCTAGAAGTTAATATATATAACTTTGGTGTTATATTTTGTATAAAAAGCTCATTGTTTTCAAAGCCAACCTCAACCATTTAAGGTAAATTCTTTTAGTATCTATGAGTGCTTTTCTTTTCTATGTTATCATATTTTAATGGAGATTAATTTAAAATTTTAATTTATTTTTTATTGAATTGTTTTAATTTAGTTTATATCAAAATTGTACACAAATTAACAAAATCAATTTTTTAAAAATTACATTTATTGTCAAACACAAATCGCATGAAAACATATTAATTATTAGAACACATTTTTTATGTTTGACGATTTTATTTAAAATATCTTTGAAAATTAACTGTCTCACAATAAAATATTCCGTACTCAATTCTACAATAGAAAAACCCTTCTATCAAATCTACATATGTATATTTCACTCATCTCAACCTATAGACCAAAATATATGTAGGCCTAATCTAGTTAAATTTAAATTTAAGGTACTTAAGTGTTAGATATGGCAACAAAACCCCTACCTACAGATATTCATCTGAACCCGTCTTAAAGTTGATAGAGAAAACTTGATTTAACTGGGTTTGAATTTGAATATAGATTTTTCCCGATTACAAGTATGAGGACGAGTCGGGTAATGGGGACACTAGTAACCACCCCGAATCCGTCTCATTTATTTTATTATGTATATTATTATTTATTTTTAGTAATTTAGAATATTAAATATGTGACAAATATTTTTATAATTTGATTTGTATTTATTATTTAAAATACTTGAAATGTATGTATGAATTTTTTGAGATTGTTTTATTTTATTATTTATAATATAATTTGATTTTGGAAAAAATAAATATTTTTATTAAAAAATAGATTTTACTAAATGGTTGGTGGCGGGACGGGGATACAAAACAAACCCGAACCCGTTTGAAATGAGTTTGAGTTTTAATTATCCATCTTCGTTTAGGCGGAGAATAAAAATTGCTTGGAAATTCAAGTTTATAGTTT